TAACAAAAGTTATTTATGTCTTCGGCGGCTATCTCTCTCTCGTATTATCGATACATTTGACGGCAACTCTTCCTTATGGTAACCAATAAATCAAAGATAAGGCAGAGATTTCTCCACTGAAGATAAGATATGGACAACAAAATAGTCACACTTTGTACTAATGGACGAGTTGTTGAGTTATAACAGTTCCGTTCATTCATTTCAAAGACATAATTGATTTTATTATAATATTTAAAACAAATCTCATGTGATATACAAATAACTATAGTTTGCATACAATTATGAGTTAAAGAATTTTCATATTGAAAAGTAAAAGAATGACAAATAAAACAAATTAGATGTTTGGTTGGGAACTGATAGGGAAACCATGAGTGCGGTTATTGTCCGGTGAGTGGTGTGAGGATTGGGTGCCATCACTGCCATCACTGCGGAGGCAAATCCTTGGCGAGTACTACGAACGGGAAGTCAGGGGGGAAGAGGTCGAGTCTCTTTTGATACATTAGTTTATATGACTGTTTGATAGTAACGTCGGCCACACCAGCGATGTCTCCGATCTCTTTCTGGGACTTCTTGTCGCTCGACGCCTGACTCGCCATATATATGGCTGCGGCGGCCACTGAGATAGGGCTACGGCCGGGAACGACGTCCAGTTCGACCGCTTTGCGCGCGATATGAGTGGCGCCGCGCTGTACAGCCGTTGTAAGGCCTAAATTAGTGCAGAAGCGGGACATGAAGTCACCGGTAGTGATGAGATCGACGCTCGTCTCGAGTGCTTTTAGGATCAGTTTAAAACAGCGTCCGATCTCTTTCTTGGAGACCTTAGAAACGGCACAAATCTCTTTGAAAGTTCGCGGAACGCCTTCCTGTCGGCACGCGATGTACAGACAGGCGGAAGCGATGGCGTCGTTGGAGCGGCCCTTCAGAGTGCGTCCGTCGTGGACCTGTTTGAACAGTAGGTTCGCTCTGTCGACGATAGTCTTCGGCAAATTGATTCGGTCCGACATATTCGAGATCTCGCGGAAGGCGTTCGCCAGCGCTCTGTCCGACGACGACATGTGTTTGCGGTTCTGGTATTTAGCGGTTCCCGACTCGTCGAACGCCACATCGCTATTACTTCGGCCAATCATTGTCGACAAGTCCGACGACAGCAGCGGGTTCTCAGCGGCGCCCACACGAGACGGATCCGCGTTTGACTTCTCGTTGCTGAACGTCCGCCACTCAGAGCCCACGTCTACCACTCGGTCGCCGACCACAAGACCACACTCGGGACAGATCAGGTCTCCCGCTCTGTAGTCCTCTATGAGGTGGACGTCCGGATGCGACGGACACTGCACTCGAGACCCCATTCGGCCAGACATTGACCACCAGTAGTGATGCGGTCGACACACAAGCGATGGGATGCCCTCCAAGTGTGATGTCTTCGGCCGACGCTTTCAATGCTTTCAACGAATTGAATGAATCACTAAATTGTGGTTCATTTGAATGACTGAAACACTTGTCGCTAATATTTGTTTGCGTTTCAGTCAATCACTCATTCAATGCTATGTTTTGTCTCAATCGCAGCCATAGATGGCAGGCATTCAACGCGTCATACAATCGATGCTAAACTTTACAAAACTGTGTAAAAGTATAACACATAGAAAACATAAATTATATACCGTAAGAATCCGTGAATTACCCGCACCCTTGTATAACACGCACCCCAAAAAACTACGAATAGTACCCCATGTATAGCACGCATTCATTTTCATAAGCTACAATGTAACAATGTTTGTATTAATACAAATTCTTTTGATGTAATGACAAAACTTCAAATAAAATAAAACTTTATTGGAATCTCTTTCAACAAAAGTTGATTTTCAGAGAAATTCATTTAAAAATATACAATTCTATTAAAATTAATATAAAATAAACATATTGTGATAACACAATAAAACAGCAATGTTGGTAATTATGACAGTTGAAATTAATGTTGGCATATAAATGACAAAACTTTTTATAATAATTTCAAAATAATTTAGATCTATTATTTTTGTACAATTAATTAATCTTTGTTGTAATTGTCCAAAACTAAAACAACTCACACACAGCGATGCTATACGTTAACCACAATTCGGGTGATGATCATAGAATAGATTAGCATAATCTTCAGATTTAATATGAGTACAATAGACTTGTCATAGAATTAGCACTAATTTCATAGAGTTAACATGCATTAGTCCCATACGATCAATATTACCCATGTTAACCCTATGCGATATATTTGGCACTGTCCATAGACTTAACATTAGTCCTGTAGACTTAGCATTACCCATGTTATCCCTATGCCATAGACGTAGCATTACCTATGTTATTCTTATGTCATAGACTTAGCGCTACCCATGTTATCCCTATGCCATAGACTTAGCATTGCCCATGTTATTCCTATGTCATAGACTTATAACGATCCTATAACGTAAAGATTCTATAATGTAAAGATTTTATAACGTAAAGATTCTATAACGTAAAGATTCTATAACGTAACGATCCTATAAACCACATTATTCATAGCTGAATTGTGGTTAAAAACGGTTATTGAATATTATACTGAAAGTTTTGAGATTCAGATTGGTCTTCCAAATTGTAGTCCTGATTCCTGTCTTATCCTATTCCTGAACAGGAAAATATTTCAACATTACTACATTGTACATATGAACATATGTCAGGACACGACAGGAATACGTTTTTTATACATTTTTCAGACTAATTTAGATACAACTGAACTTTATTCAAATTCTGGTCATTTCTAAGAATTTGAGTAACGTACCTGTTACTGTAATTCAATGATCGAATAAAAATCAAAACTAATTTATTTTTTGTAGTTTCGATGGTTGAATATCATTTTACTTCGGTGAAACAATAAATAACCTGCTCCAACCCGCATATAAAATTTCCAAAAAAAACTTTTTCTTTATTAGACAACCTGCGGTCTATCGACAGAATTTACGGTATATATATTGCTCTACAAGTAGTGGACAATAAAATGTGAAATAAAAAGCATTTTTTTTATTAACGCTTAAGAAAAACGATTAAAAACGTGTAAAGAAAGCATTGAATAGTGTTTTAGTTTTTGCCTAAATATGTGTCACTGAATGCACGCGTTTTTGATTCAACATTTTGATCGGTAAGAAAGTTAGTCTCAGTTTGAATACGTGGTGATCGTTAGGACACATCGTTAGGACACCCGGTGTTTGCACTCCTTATGTGACACTTTAGACGAATTGAAGAAAAGATTTGAAAGCAAAGCATAGTTTTTATACCGAAAAAAACTCTATCTATAAGTATAAAGTTTTTGAGCAGAAACTCATCATTTGTTTCTCAGCCCTCCTCTCGTCGACACATGCAGTGTATGGCAAAGCGTTGAGCATCTCTTGGCATCGCCTCAAACACCGCAAAAACAGTTTGAATGTTAGAAACACTGCTATTATTGAGAAGAGAAGGAGAAAAGAGAGCTGAAGAGCATCTCATATAACATAAGCCAAGGCTGTTGTGGTGTTTGTGAGAAAAATATCATTCAAAACAAACTTTCCTCGAATTGAGTCGAAGAGAGTTGGAGTTAAAGACGATTTGAGACGAGAGTCGGGACACAAATATACGGTCTCTGCAAAGTGTATGCAGTTTTTGTGCCCATCAAAGCCAACACTTGACTCCCTATTCAACAATACAGTGGTGAGTGTTGTTTGCTTTTTACCATTATTACCACAATGTCATACATATTCTCTAATAGACTTAACATATGTAGGAATGATATGTTTGCCATTCAATTGTTAGCACCAAATATAACTTTTTATTTTTTACAATTCAATTCATTTACAACAGATTCCATGAAAAGTTGTTATAAATTTAGCGATAATTAGCGAACATTTGTTGCTTTTAATAAGCAATTTTGTACTTTCCATTATTTTTCAACTTTTCATGTAATTTCTATATAAATTGTATTGTATTTAAAGTTTTAATTTTAGTTTTTCATGACATTGGTTGTCGACAATTATTGTATATTATAATTATGTCTTTTACAACAACCCATATATTTATGGTTTAAAAAGTTATTCAAATATTTAGCCCAGAATTATAATCTATTTTAAATAGAGATCTTGAGATTGGATTCACTGAAAGCTTAAATACGCCAGTATTTGAATCATAGATAAGAACTTGTAATATAGTTTATGCTGCGGTCTGTCATTCATAATGAGTTTTATATATGCAATCATTTGATCACTTCTTCGAGATTATGTAAAAAGTGTATTCATTTGAGTGAAAATGCCATTCATTTGCAGTCCATTCACAACACTATTCACAGTCTTAGGCGAAGACCCCAACGAAGATTGAGTATAAAAAGATACAAAAAATTGTGAACACGAGTCCATATGAACCTCTATTTCAGCGAATAGTTTCATATTTGCGCCAAACGTTTGAATGATTTGAACAAATGATCGAAATATGATATTTCACTTTTGCATTG